TATCCCCTCAATCCCCTGTTTTGGAGAGATCAGGGCTACTACGCCATTGTAACATAATGTAATATAGTGTGTACCACACAGATCTGTTCAACCAAACCAATTTTCTAAAACCGTGAATAAGTGCCGGTTGAGGTGTGTGTTAAAGAAATTATCTCTCTCTCTCTCTCTCTATATATATATATATATTTAGTACTGTAGGTTCTGTGGTTTGTGCAATTTATGACCTTTCTAAAGCACTTGTCCTTTTTTTCCGGCCTAAATTATTTGAAGGTTGATTTGAGAGAACAATCGTCAAAAGAATTGAGCTGCTATATCTCCATAGGATATGCAGGGACGCCGTTTTTGATTAGCGGACACAAGATAGTGAGGAAGAAGAGCGCAGGGGTGGGTTCCTGTACCGGTTGGCACTGGTTCACTTCATGCGTGCTTTGCACGCATGCGCTGTTTGGTTCACTCGCACACCCGCAGCACATTGCTCGCGCAAGCTCAGTTGAGTGAAAATTGCTCTGCGCATGCGCAGAAACATGCCAGCAACAGCAAAAGAGAGCAGGGAAGTGGTTCAGGGGTGTGGCTGCTGGTTCTGTGACCCAGGCCAAATCACCACTACTGGTTCCGCCGAACCGGGCCAAACTGGGAGGAACCCACCTCTGAAGAAGAGGATTCAGGGGGGCGTTTCTCCTCCTGACAAGATTAAATTATGTAAATAATGTGTTTTTAAGAAGTGGATTGCTCCAAAAAATATACCTCGTGTTGCAGAAGCATTAACTCGCGGAATGTCCCAAAGCTGGATGGGAGAAAGCCTATTGCTCTGACGCACAACCTTTTTACCTCTGTTGTCGGTTGTCTGATTGTGTTCACCGTTTTGTAAATGGATCTAGGACAACTTGCCATGGGCAACTCACTGGAGGCCAACTCGCCATGGGACAAGAGTTACACTGATATCAAAGAAACGGTGGAGTGGAGTCATTACAGAAAAGACTCCAAAGGAAGGCCCAAAATGAAAGGTGAATTAGAAAAATTAAATTATTTTAAGTAATTCAATTGAATGGTTGAATAATCTCATGGCAAGTTAGCCGTGGTGCGTTGTCCGATCCAACAGTAAACAACAGTTTGTTGACCTGTAGCATTATACAAACCAGCCTTCAGATCAGAGGGGGCACGGGCAGAACCGTCAGGATGTGTGGGCGGAGCCTTCTTCTGCCGCTACCACCGGTTCGGCTGATCGCGGCCGATCCGGGAACAACCCACCTCTGCTTCAGATCAAAGAGAACAATTTGTAGATAAGGTTTGCTCCATATTTGGAGAAACTGTTTTCACTAAGCGGTTTCTTGGATATTCGGAACAAATTTATAGAGAAGAAGTTGCAAGTCCTAACTTTTGGTAACTCCTCAACACTTGCGTTTCCAGCCGCTGAGGCATCTTTTCAATCAACCAGGATGAAACCTGGATACCGAGATTATTGTAAACCCATACCGCTGAAAAGAAACCTAGCATTTTGCTCCAAGGTAAAGTATTAGGTGACTCAGATCAAAATGAGAACTAATTCATATCTTGTGATGTGCTATGCTCTATTAGAGTTTAATGTCCCTCGCCTACAGTTATTATCGGTCTGTTTATTGCCTCGTGGACTGATTTTTCCAACAGCTGATAATGTCTCCCTCGTTTTTCCTCATGATGCCATTTATTGCAAAACTATCTTACATTTCTGTGAATGTACCACTATAAAGAATTTTATCTAGATGTAGATATGGAATTATATTTACTTGGCGACCCAGTCGAAATGCATAGGAATATAGGCAGGAAGTCCATATAATGACCTTAGTATTTGCTGGCTTAAAAATATCAAGAAGAATACAAGGCAAAATTCAGGTTTTTTTTAAATAATAATAATAATAATAATCTGATAGATTACAGTGGAGAAATTGTGTCTTACATTTATTGCTACTGAGATCAGTGAAATTTAAAAGTACTTAAACGTGTGCTTCTTGGAAAGCAAAGGAAGTGAGCCTCCAGCCCACTCAGAAGTAAATTCCCTGTGATTCACCCGAAATAACTTTTTCATTATTAAATGCGCCACCTCGGCTCTTATAATCTGGCTGAATACCACCACTGGTCCCTATTTGCTTCAACGTACTCACTTTGTACATACTAACAGTACAGAAGAGGAGAAAATGATGAAAGGACTCACAAGTTCACGTCAACATCAGTTTCACACCTAATTTCCCCACTTCTCCTGCTCAATCATGAATGCTCCTTGCATTCTCTTCCTCCAACCTAATGCTCTCTTGTTAACTTGAAGTTTGCTCGCTGTGGTACGCAGGTAGTTTCAGTAAAAGACAATAGGCAGGTTTCCAGACTCAAGGAAGTCGGAAATCTAGGTGGCCTCCAGAGAAACCTCCAAAAATCACCAGATCATGCCTATAACCTCATCTCTTTTTAGCGTTTCCCATTATTATTTATAATGTGTATTTTTTTTTCTCCGGTGTACAGTTTTGTATATGTTCTCTAAGGAACCCTGCTTGCGAAATTTGAATTATGTATTGTGTATTTTACAATGTTGTGGTGTTTATAAGGAACTGTGCGTCGGGGGGGTGGGAGGGAAGACTTCTGTAAAATAGCTTTGGGTTGTCCTATTTTCGCAAAGAATGAGCGGGAATATTGCTTATTGCTTTGATAAGATTTGTTGAAAAAGCAAAAAAATAATAATAATAACCTGCTTTCATTTTTGTGATGCGTTTATATATATATATATATATATATATATATA